TTTAAAGATTTTATTTATTTATTCATGACAGAGAGAGAGAGAGAGAGAGAGAAGCAGGCTCCCAAGGAGCAGGGAGCCCGATGCGGGACTTGATCCCAGGACCCTGGGATCATGACCTGAGCCGAAGGCAGACGCTTAACCATCTGAGCCACCCAGGCGCCCCCAACCATTTTTTTTAAAGATTTTATTTATTTATTTTAGAGAGAGAGAAAGAGAGAGAGCAGGGTGAGGAGCAGAAGAAGAGGGACAAGCAGACTCTGCACTGAGCACAGAGCCTGATGCGGGGCTCAATCTCATGACCCTGAGATCATGACCTGAGGGGCAACCAAGAGTCGGACGCTCAAACCGACTGAGCCACCCAGGCTCCCCATTTTTTTTTTTCCAACCATTAAAAAAATGTTAAAACCATGTATGTCTTATAAGTCATACAAAACAGGTAAAGGGTCAGATTTGGCCAGCAAGACTTAAATTTGCTGACCCCGGGTCGAGACTGTTGCTATTCAAAGTTAGTTCCCTGGACCAGCAGCATCAGCATCACCTGGGAGCTTCTTAGAAATGCAGAATCTTAGGCCGATGCCTCAATCCTGTTCAGTCGGAATCTGCATTTGAATAAGATGCCTTGGGAATTCACATGCCAGCCATGTTTGAAACGTCCTGGTCCAGACACAGAATTCTGCAGTCAGACAAGGCTGGAATACCATCCACTGGCTGGCTATAGAATCTAGGCAAATTGACCCCAAGAGACTCAGTTTCCTTATCTATTAAAACAGGTAAAAATAACTGCGCCATCTCCAAGGACCGCTGTCAGGGCAAGACAAGAAAGAGATAGAACGCTTGCCTGACATTGTCAGAGCTTTCAAAATGGTAGCTACTACTACAGAACCGTACTGTTTTTAAGGTCATTGAGAGAGGAGCATGCTTATTCAGGGTTTGCAAACTCCAATCACTTCCAGTATGGGACAGGTTGCCTAAATATTTGAAGAGGCCCTTCAGTGCAACTGGAATGTCAGAGACAACGGCAAGCCAAGGTCACATCCACCTGAAGAAAAACCACTCATAGGCTGCCAAGGTAGCAAAGGAGGCTCCTTGCTACCACATCGCTGCATTTTCAAAGAGAAGCTGGAAACCTGGATTTTAATGTTATAAAAAGCCCTCTTACTTAACACACTGTGCAGACCAAAGAAAATCCACCTGCGGGCTGGATGTGACCAGAGAGCCCTCTGCCTTACAACAGAGAGATAACAGGAGGCAGTAAGTCACAAGAAAATGAACCGGGGTTTTAGAGCTAAATTCTGGCTCATTCTCCCTAGTCAGGAGACCTGGGACAGATTATTTAACAATTTGGAGCCTCAGTTTCCTCATCAGGAAATCCCCACATCTACCCTGGAGAGTTTGGTGAGGACGAACTAGAAATGTATATAATAGTGGAGGTACAGCTCGGGACAGGGTAAGCGCCCATCCTTGTCATGGCTGATGTTTTGGCGTTATTATTACTGTTTTTATTCATCGAGCCTTGGCATTTGCAGGGCAAATCTTCCCTGTAAAAATGGCTATTTTTCTCTCCCTGCTCAAACTGGTTGCAAACAAGCAAGCTCAATTAACCCCCACTGAGCATGCTGTCTCATAGTACACGAAGAGCTTAGTTATTAATGATTTTGTTCTGGCCGCAGTCCATGAAGATGCCTTAATATTCCTCTTAATGAAACTTCCCTCTGGTGCCCGGCCACTGCAGGGTTGGCTCTAGGCTGCTTTGAGGTGCTGCTTCTTTGTGGCCAGGTCACCTGCAGGCAACAGTGCTTACTTTTGCTCTCCACCTGCCCTAGATCAGGTGGAAGAGAGCACTGCGCTTGACAACAGTGAGCCCTCCTAGGGTTTTTTTTTTCCTTTAGAAACCCTACAAATCCGCACATTTGCCACCTACAGGTGTGGGTGATAACAGAAACGGGGAAAGAGTATTGTAACTCAGGGAAATCCCCACGAACTCTAAGAGCCTTCCACGGGACCTCTGGCATCTTTCCTCACACAGAGGAAGCCCCAAAGTACAGAGAACAATCCGGCATCCAAAGGGCTAGGTGTTAGAACTCCCCATTTCTCTCTCTTTAAGGTGCACTCCAATCAGCTGGGGATCTTGTTAAAGCTCAGACTCTGGTTCAATAAGTCTAGGGCAGGGCCTGTGATTTTGCGTTTCTAGCAAGCTCCCAGGAGATGGTGATAACAGCTGGTTCCCGCCCCAGGTTTGAATCAACAGGGTTCCTCCTCCTCCACTTGCTTCATCTAGGTCCCTGCTCAAATGTCACCTCCTCTGAGAGCCCTTTCCTGACCACCTTATCTAAAATGTAATTATTTGTTGAATAAGGGCAGGAATCCTGTCTGGTGTGTTCTTTGCTATATCCCCAGCACCAGCAGAGAGCCAGGCACAAAACAGGCACTCAAATATTTGTTCAGTAGAGAGATCCCACTTTGACAACGGAGGGAAATGAAACTCAGGGAGCCCAAGCCATTTGCTGAAGGTCACACAGCTTGTCAAAGCCAGAGCAAGACGGCGGGGCCAGCTCCGACTGGACTTCAAAGCCTTAGCTCCCTCCACTACACCAGAGGAGGAAGCAAAGTTTGTTTACAACACGTTTCCTCCCCTAGAACGTTCCTGCATCCAGTACCTTCGAGCTGGATGCAGGGCCTCCATTCCGTTCTACTTTGGGGAGGTGCTTGCTGGTAGGCAGTGGATCGGAGAGGACCAGTGTGGAAGCAGAGATGCAAGAGGAGAGGCCACGCGGTAATGTTTAGGGTGCCTTGGTACTCTGGGGTAAGGGAAATTCTCTTTGGGTCAGACCCAAAGGAGCCTTTCAGCCTCCATCAGGCCAGCCTTTTGCTCCTCTCAGGGCACAACGGTCTCTCCCAGGGGTTCACAGCCTCCCCAGTCAGAGGAGTGGAAAGTGAGCACACTGTGGGCTCCAAACTGCCAAAAAAGAACATTGTGCTGTCCCCCAGGAATAGCTGTCCCTCTTCTCCAAAAGGTCACCAGAAAATACGCCCATGGGGAAAAAGGAGGGAGCAAAAGCAAGGAGCTGTTTCCTTTCCAGCAATGGGCGGAAATACCATAAAAACCCCATTCATGGAGCCCCAGTGAAGCCTTTCTGCTGTCAATGGGGAAACTGCTTCTGCATGAAAACCCGTCTCAGCCTCATGAAAGGGTCTCTCTCCAAAAGAAAGGCTCCCTCATGGGCTGAAAAGACAACACTTGTTTTCCCCGTCACAAAAATCAACTGGATTAAAACGGCTGAAGGTTCTCCAAGAAACTGTGGTCATGAACGTCTACCGTAACCTGGACACCCAGCAGCCTCAAACGGGCTACTGAGGCCTCCTCCCAAGCAGCAGTTGAGAGGAAGCTAAAAATAATTACCAAACGTAGCCACTAGTTACCGTAAGCCTGATCCTGGGCAAACAATGGGTTTTCCATATCTCATTTAACCCCTCCAGTCATGCTGTGAGCTGAGTACCATGATTATTCCCACCTGATGGTTGGGGAAACCAAGAACTAGGGAGACCAAGTGACTCACTGGAGGCCAGAGGTCACACAGAAGAAAGGAGGCGCGTCAGGCCACAACCCCCACACTGCACACCACCCCACAGACCTCTGGTCAGAAGGTGACCCCAAGGCTCCTGAGGAGGGGAGGAGCTGGGAAAGCACTCTCCTGTTCTTGACTCTGCCTTTCCTACTCCCATGAGAGCACCAGAGAGATGGGAAAGGAAGCCAGCAGTCCTGCCATACTGGATTGGGTTTACAAAGTCACGCTCCTACACCCATTCCATGGATCACCTACTTTCACATTTGGGATGCGCGAGGGGCCAGCTCAGACCACACCTATTTGGGCTACAAAACTGGCAGTGATGGGTGCCTCTTTCTGCCCATTACATATTTATAAGGTCGCCTGGCCTTGCCTCTGACACAGAAGTTATTAAATACTTGGTAGCCATAAGGGCTGCGCTCAGCACCTTGAAACAAAGCAAAGAGGCTACCAGACCCGTCAGAGGCAGGAACAAAAGCATTTCATTTCTGAAGGAGCCAGCTGGGAGTTTCCTTGGAACTGGGTGACCAGCACACATTACCATTGGGAGAAAGTAGAGAAGCACACACAGAGGGGTAAAATAAAATCAAAGCAGGCTTTTCCCCCCTTGTGCCCAGAAACCGCCCCTTCAAAGGGCCATGAGTGGTGGGGAAAAGGGAAAGATGCACTCATCAAAGAGAGAACACGTTAGGATGTCGTCTCCGACATTCTCCTGTCACTGGTTCTTCCGTTTCATGAAGTCGCCAAGAAGGATCCGCCTCATCTTACATCATCAAACTGAGAGTCTGCAAGGCTGCACCCCAACTTTTTCCAATCAGAGCCCCAGCAGCCAGATGCAACGGGAGGGCACCCCGATGCCGCCTCTCCCAAACATAATCATTCCAATCCAGGCTGGGGCTGCCTGGAAGTCAACAGTCACGGCCCATTAATAAGAAACATCTGGCCACCGAAGAGGGTTGACACAGTGCAGGCGGGCAGTAGTGGATTTGTGGGTGGGACCCAGAGCTACAAGGGCCGAACTGGAAAACACCAGCTAGTCTGGGGTATCCTCCACACGCTGCGCCGCGCTGTGGCCCTTGGAGACACTGCCATGCCCAAGTTGAACTGTTTGGGGCTGAGCAACTTAGATACACAGAGTGTGGGTAGGAGAGACTCAAAACTCTCCCATCAGGGAAATGCAGCCTGAGCCCAGCTCTCCTGCATGCCCCAGTGCTGGCCGCCACTTCCACCTTTCAATATTTGTAGCAGATGTAGCCCCAGTCTTAAAGGAACAGCCTTTGCATTCTTTCCATGTGACTTACAAGTGAGATTTACAAAAGGAGATAAATATAGGCGTTTGTGTGTGTGTGTGTGTGTGTGTGTATAGACATATGTTTCCCCACTCCCCACCCCCGAATTGTTATGCCTTTAGGAATCGGATTTAATGCATCCTACCTCCATTTATGCAAGGCGAACCCGGGGCACTGGTCACCACAGGCGTTACATGGCTGGCCTCTCTCTATCCGCCCCAGTCCAGTCAACTTCAAAACAAAAAGACAACACAACCATGTTTCCACCACGGGGGCTCCCTCCAAAGCCCCACTGGCGTCCCAGGCAGAATGACCTGCCCCTCCCACCCCACCGTATCAAATTTGCCTCCAACGTTCCGCTCCGTTGTGGGGATGCGGGGCGGGGTGCTGCCGGCGCCCCAGGGGTGGTCTCCCTCGTGGGGAAGGGTGTGTGGACCCGGGCTGGCTACCCTCTGGCGTGGGCACCAAGCCACCAAGAAATGGTCATGGCTGGGGCTTTGTCTCCCCCAGACACCTTGGTCACGGGTTTCTAAGAAACAAAAGCAAGACCTTTCTGTTCCCCTGGGTCCCCGAGAAGCGACCATCGCTCATTCGCCTTGAGCCATGCCGGTGCTCCCGGGAAGGGGGCAGCACAGGACACCCCAAAACACAGCCCAAAGTCAAGTCCGCGGCTAGAGCTACAAGAGGCTGGACGGTGGAGCTGAGATACTGTGATTCCGACCTGCCTTACGGGAAAAGGCGAGGGAGGGGGCTTTCCCGGGCGCCCCCACACTGTGACACACAGGGCCACCGCTCTGGGTCTCGCTCTCGCCCAGACTGGGTTTCCGGACTTAACCCTTTCGGCGCCTTCCAGCGCTCCCGCGCGCCCCGGACACGCCCCTGCCCTCGGGGCCGGCTTACCTGGGGCCACAGGTGCGCGGCCGCCGCGCGGAGGGAAGCTGGGCAGGGGCGCTCGCGGAGGGTCGGGGGTGGGGGGGACCCAGAGATCGGCCCTGCTCAGGTGGGGGATACTCACCGAGCGGCTGGAGAGTCTTTTCCGGGAGCTCCGGCTGAACATGGCCGGGCACCTCCTGCACGCAGCGCCGTCGGTCGGTCGGTCCGCACCGCGGCCGGGAGGGCGGGTCGCCTGGGCGGGCACGCTCGGCGGCCCGTGGCCTGGTTGTCTCCGCCTCGCCGCCCCGGGCTCGCTCCGGAGCGCACGCCTCCCCCGCCTCCCTTGCTGGTGCCTCTCGCTCTCCCGCCCGCAGGTCCCTCCCTCTCTCCCGGCATCCCCCCCGCCTCCCCGGGTTCGCCCCGCGGGCCGCGGGCTCTTCCCATCCCTCCCCCGCACCGGCTGCGCCTACTCTCTCCCTTCCCCGGCTTCCCCGCCGGCCGGCCGCCGCCACCTCGCTCCCGCACCTGGGCCCGCCCACAAGGGCTCGTCCCTCACCCCAGGCGAAGTTCGGGCAGGGACCACTTGAAGGCCCCCTGTTGCTTTGGCTTGGGTAGCGGCTGGAGATGGAGGGATGAGGGGTTAAGTTTTTTTTAAATGAAGGTAGAATTCACCTACAGTAAAATTCCCTCCTTGTGGTGCACAATTCTACCAGTTTTGACAAATTCACACAGACGTGTTAACAGCCGGCACAATCAAGAACAGTCTCATCGTCCTCCAAAATGGACTATTTTAAAAAAGTTTTGTGACATGGGGCGCCTGGGTGGCTCAGTTGGTTAAGCGACTGCCTTCGGCTCAGGTCATGATCCCAGGCTCCTGGGATCGAGTCCCGCATCGGGCTCCCTGCTCAGCAGGGAGTCTCCTTCTCCCTCTGACCCTACCCCCTCTCATGCTTTCTCTCACTCATTCTCTCTCTCTCAAATAAATAAATAAAATATTTTTAAAAAAAAGTTTTGTGACATGCCTGGAATGCGTTCACTCCTGGTAGATGAGGAGAAGAAGAACGACAGATGCCCCCACCCGCCCAGCGCCTGGAATACAGCACATGCTCCCTAAGTAACTGTTGAACCCTTGCAGGGCAAGCTCTGACGCACCCCCTCCCCCCACCACGCGCCCATGCTTTTCCCACCACTTGGTAGCTGGTGATCTTCCCAAAGCAACTGACTTTGTGATTCTGTCTCCTTATCGAATAAAAAAAATATAACAAGAGTCCTAATCTCACAATGTTGTTGAGAGAGCTGAGTGGGCACAGGTAGAGTTGTTATAGATGTTATAACAGGCACAGACTAAGGGCTCATTAGAGATTAGCTGTCAAAGAAAAAAAGTTTGCAAGTCTGAGCCGTATAGGCCCTGGTGTCCACTTCCCATTGATGTTTTGGCTGAAATACCACCTCCCCTGAGAAAACTTCCCTGACCCCTTATTGTAACATCTCACACACAGACACTCCCTCATACCACCCATGGCATACACTGAAATGATCTTGTTTACTTATTTTTTTGCCCTCACCCACCGTTGTTCACTTTAGTGGCTCTAGGGTCTCTAACAGCACCTGCACAATGTGAGGACTCCATAAATGTCAAATGTCTTGTCATTGTCAAAAAGATATTTCTCTGGGCTTAGGCATTGAGGCTGAGAGCTGAAAAGCTGTGTGCTTGGGCTAATAGCAAATTAGTGGCAAGGCCAGTCTATCTATACCCCAAACGCAAAAGAACGGGGACGTGACCCAGCTTAGATACTTGCTGTCTATCAGTGTTCGCTGATGATCATCAATGCCTAGAGAGTAAGGTTTGATTTGAGTTCCAGGCCAGAACAAGGATGAGGAAAGTGCAGAGTGAAATTTACAGGTGGCCCAAAAAACTCAGTAACTGAGATACATAATACTTTTATGCACTATTTTAAAGAATCGTAATTGATGCAACAAAGTCAACATTTTAAATAAAGACCAGATCCTACCCTGTACTTACCTGTCCCTCCTTCACTCACCTCACCATAATCCTCGCTCTGAAAAAAATACTCCAACACTTAGGGACCTAAAGGGTAGACTCCTTTATATTGCTTTTATGTATTTACCCAACACCCCCCAGCACCAGTAGATGGTACACTTGCAGAGAGTAAATGCCATGGCTCATTCATCTCTTTATTTGCACAGGCCTAGCACAGGCTCTGGCTCATTTCAAATGCTTGACAAATGTTTGTTAAATGACTAAAGAGAAGGCAGTAGCTTTGGTAGAGGTGGGGGGCAGGGGTGGAAGCAATTAAAACCCCAGGTGAATAATCAGTACAGGTGCAGAAGGCTCACCTGGCCTTCTCAGCAGGGCGACTGCATTCCCTGCTCCATGCTGCACTGTGCATGGCCTTCTTCTGACAGGTGTGGGTCAGGAGGACCATGTTCTCGCTGTGGATATTGCCTGCTTGTATTTTAATTATGAAAACTGTTGGCAAAGGTCAGGAACAAAACCAATGCATTACAAGTTTCTAACAGACGGAAGGAACGTATCCTGAGGAAGCAGCACCTTCTTCAAATTCCCTGGAAAGAAGTACAAGGGCAGGGGGCAATGGTCCTGCCTCTGGATAGACGTGGCTGGTGAAGGATGTAACAGTAATTATGCCCTTGGGGAAAGTGGTGTGGGTGATCTGGGCATTTCACTTTTGTTTCTCGGTTAAAGAGGAGAGGCCAAGAAGATGTAAGGGGTCTCCACATGTTGTCTGATCGAGCCACATGCGTGGGGTCCAGTTTCACCTCCTAAACAGAGCACCAAGGGCTTCCCCTGACATCGGCCATAAAAAACACCCCTGACATCGGTTGGGCGTCCAGCTCTTGATTTCGCTCTGGTCATGACCTCAGGTTTTGAGATCAAGCCCCAAGTCACGTGCTCTTTCTCTCTCTCAAATAAAGACTTAAAATAAAAAATCCTGGAATTAATGTAACATTGTATGTTAATCATACTTCAACTTTTTTTTAAAAAAGCAGTAAAACTAAAAAATTTTTTTAATTTTTTTAAAAAAGATTTTATTTATTTATCTGATAGAGACACAGCAAGAGAGGGAACACAAGCAGAGGGAGTGGGAGAGGGAGAAGCAGCTTCCCGCTGAGCAGGGAGCCCGATGTGGGGCTCAATCCCAGGACCCTGGGACCATGACCTGAGCCGAAGGCAGACGCTTAACGGCTGAGCCACCCAGGCGCCCCTAAAAAAAAAATTTTAAAACACCCCCTGCTGGATGAGACCCCCTTGGCTTATCTCCTCTGAACAGGAGGCTGTTCTCCATGGGCTTACTTACACCTGAGGCTCACGTTTGAGAAGCAGTGTCTTACTTCTCTAGTCAACAAGCACTTTATCTTGCTTAGGAAGATAAAGCTTGGTAACTCGGGAAAGAAAACTCAATTTCACTGTCAGCTGTAGGTGAACAGTAGACACTTTATTTTGCTTTATATCGCTGCATTTACCCTCCATAGACCTCTTTGATGTGTGCTCTTTCCTCATCTCTCAAGGCAGTGCAATTACTCATGGAACCTGGAGAAATCCTCATACATGATTACTGACATGGAAAACGCCTTTGCTATCATACAAAGTTTGGAAAACAAAACCAGTAGAGGCTGTCTCGCTTTAATTCGTCTTAAAATAGGCATCAAGAGACTGGAAAGAGACACACAAAATAAGTTTTTTTTATTTTTGCCTTTTAAATTTATTTCCTGTAATGAACATATGCTCATTTTATAATCAGAAATGTAAAATTATTTATCTGAATGGAAAATTGTGCCCTTGTTGCCTGAGGTCTTCTAATACCAAATCTGGAGCAGGTGTAGCAAGAAGCTGCTGGTCTCCCCTCCCTTCGGTCTATGCATGCCTTTCTTCTGTGGTGGGATTTTCTATTTTTTTCTTATACGAATCTGAGACTATGAATCCAGGTGAAGCCTCTGACGTCCCATTTCCACACACCTGCAGCAAACTTTAGGGATGTGTGCACACAGTGCTTCCTAAAATAGAGACTAAGAACACAGTATTGCAACACAAGCTCACCCAGGTGCACATCTCCTGCTGTTAGCTACTGGAAACAATCCTGAGTGTTGCAAAGGGCGGAAAATCTCCCTGAACGGGCAGCCAACACTCAGAAGCTCCATGAAAGCGTCCCCCTAATCAGAAGTCTACAAAGAGTATTTTGAAAAAGTGTGGCAAGCCATGGGTGGTGAGGGAGTTGGCAGGGGTGACGGGAGAGCTGAGTCTCTCTCAGTAGTGGGATTATAAGGGGCTTTCCTCTTTCATCCCA